AGCTATGCTTAATTTAGCAATAGGGAGGTGGGATATACTCTTCAAACCAAAGTTATTCTTGTAAATACAAATAATGCATATGTAAGTATGTGTATTATTAAAAATACATAACTAGCAATTCAACATATGTATAACGTGTGGGCATCAAATAGTATATATGTACATATTTGAATTTTCCAAACATTTACCTGTATACATATAATATGTATATATGTTATTTTCCACCATATAAAATAAATAGTACAATTGATTTTATGAAATGTGTTAGTAAAGAGGATAAGGGGGAAACATGGCTGGCCCGTATTAATCGACCGTGGCATCAAAATAAATGCCGAATATTATCGCAAAAATATTCTGGAGGGTGTATTAAAGCCTTGAGCAGGCAAACATTTTGTCCGCAGACCTTGGACATTCCAACAGGACTCAGCACCATCGCACTCAGCACGCGCCACCCAAGAATTGTTACAAAATGAGGTATCTCATTTCATTTCCACCACACAATGGCTACCAAAATCTCTGGATACCAATCCGTTGGACTATTGTGTCTGGAGTATTTTGGAAAGCAAGGTTGGCTCTAAAAAATACCAAAGTGTCGATCACCTCAAGCAAGCGCTTCGGGAATGGGCCAAAATACCACAGAGCAACATTCGAGCAGCGTGTGACGGTTTCAGGGGCCGTTTGAAGACCATAATTCGTGCCAAAGGTGACCAATTCGAACAAATCAAATCTAAATTCTAAAATGTGATGCTATTTCCGACATTGTTATGCTTTCATTCAATAAAAATTTAAAAAAAAAATTACAAGTATGGCGTTTGACTTTGTTGCAGTTTTTTTTTATCTCACCCTGCATACAATACAAATGTCTCATGTTACCCATAAAGAAATATAGCTATTTGACAGAAAGTAAAGACAAGAAAGATAGCTATTTGACAGAAAGTAAAGACAAAAAATATAGCAATTGGGAGGTAGAAACTGTTTACCAACAGCATTCCCTGGCTAGGCAGACCACCCTGGTAAATATACTTATAGAGGTACTTTCTTCTTCTCTTTCTCGTTTCTATAACTCTCATATCCCCAACAATTTAATTTCTTCCTTGGTCCAAAGGACTCTGAGTTAAGCAGTTGTGGAATCTCATGTAGATGTATATCCTTAAAACAACCCAACCTATAATCTAAATTTACCCTCAGGCTCTTTTCCAGAACCTGCAAGAATCTACTAGTTTGGCAATTGTTTTTGATATCATAAAGGGAAAATCGGCTTGGTAGTAAAAATATTACACCCTTACTGTTATGGAACGGGCCAATTGAGGCATGTATCCCATGTACCAATATATCGCATAAAGAAGCTTATTTAAATCCTCTAAAAGAATGTTTATCTTCGAATTTAAATGTAATAACTTATTCAAAAATTAGAATTCAATCAAAAGGGTTGTTACATACAAATTGAACCTAAATTTGAAATTAGTTTAAACCGAAAATTTGATCGAATCTTTAAATTCGATTACAGTGACCTCAATTTACTAGGTACCTAAACAAATTTAAAACTCATTTCACTTTTGTAAACATTTTCCATTCTGAACATTAGTTAGTTATTACATGAAATTGATTATCATAGATGATAGACATGAAATTATCTCCATAATTGACTAGCGATCACCAACCATTTTAGATATATGCCTATTGCATACCTATTGCTCCAGCCAGTTTAGTAGCAAAACAAATTTGTTATTTGCAAAGTTACAGAACTATGAACTATGTAAAAAACGATAGAGGACAACGTATGCCCAAAACATTGTATATGGTTGAGATTACACAAAAAAGCAAACACGATTCCTCTGCACCGGGAATGATTTCTTTTCCCTGCCAGCTCACATCACGTTTTTTTGTTTCTCCTAAAGATGTTATTTTTATGTACATAAATACGTAGACATTTTTCTTCGTATGTTCATATGGCTGGCAAGTGAACAAAAAAAAGTAATAATAAAGAAGAAAATAGTCTAAAGAACAACATCACAGCGACAATGCACAGCAGAATATGCGTTCGTCAAAAGCACACAATTTGATTTTGTGTAGATGTTTTATAAGACTTATTTCTATGTATTTTGGTTTCTGGTTTGACTCATGCTAGGAGTTGAATACGTTTCTTATGTGAAATATGGCGAAAATTGCAATGAAAATCTTCCCTTTGGATTGGCAAGGCAAACACGCACATTGTAGTCCCTTGTCCCTATCTTTTGCACAACAATATTCGAGAGCTAATCTGTAGGAGGCAGAAATAGATTTTAATTTTCATAGCAAATCAGAAGATTTGTGGAAAATATAATTTTAGCTTACCATTAATAGCTGTTTCTAACTGAATATTCGTTTGTGTCATCTTAAATTGTAGATTATTGCATTTTAAGTAAAATATCGTTTGCTTTTATTTTCGTTTTTTTTCTTTTGTCTTTCGTAGTTTCTTATATTGTACGTCAAAAATGCAACCCTGTGCCGTCTGTTATGAACGGTGTTGCTAATGTTGCTGAAATAATTTTCCGCTAAATCGAATTCGTTAAAAAAAAACTCAAAGGCTTACAGAAATAGAGCAAGCTTATTTTGAGGCATATGGAAAGTATTTTGACTGTAAACAACGTTGTTTTTGGAAGAAGCTGTCAATTAAAGAAACTTAATAATATGGAACTCAACTCTTGTTCTGTGAAAACGTTAAATAAAAACTTTTATAAATGAAAGAAATTTCAAATGAAAAACATTTTAAGCAAATATTTTTCAATTCATGCTTTCATAGAAATTCATTGAAAATGTTTAAAGACAAAGCCTTTTTTAAGTTTATTCACAAAAAAAAAATTAAAGAAGTTGTTTTTAAGTCAATATGTGTAAAATTGATTTATGATGTTATAGTAATGGTAACACATGGCATTTAAGCTTTTCATATGGTCACGATGGTATGGATCAGTCGGATCCAGATTATTACTTATCGGGGCCAGATATATCAAGATTAATCAAATCACTGTAAACAATTACACATATTTTTTCCCGTTCCTAAGTATATATTTTCCCAAAATCTTAGTAGCATACCGCATCCGTAAATGTATAACGCCGTAACGAATAACGTCGTGTTAGCATCACTGATCAGATTCAGGTTGCGCGCTAAGAAATCAGCGTAAAGTAAAATCAAGAAATAACGAAAACTCAAGAAAAAGGATAAGACAACAAAGTCACCACACTGTCAAAATGAAAACATGAAAAACAACAAACGACAACAAAATAAAAGCAGTGATAATGGCAAAAATTTGAAGAAAACAAATAATTAGAGAGAAAACAGAAAAATGCGATAAAAGTCATTGGAAAGAAAATATAAAAAATGCAATTATAAAAATAATATTAACAAATTGCCAGTGACAGTAGGCAGACGACAAATACAAAAATTAAAATTATTATTGCCGACACACAAAAAATGCATGTAAGATTTGTAAATTGTTGGTGTGTTGACGTTGTCAGGGAAGAAAATGTGAAAATGGAAACAAAAGTACAGGGAGAAAACAATACTTAAATACGAAAAAATAAAAATGTGTTCGTTTTGTCATTTTATATAAGGTTGCTTGCTTGGTAGGTTGCTTGTATGCAGTAGTGAGTGAATGTGGATGAAAAAACCAGGCAAGTAAAATATGTGATGATGTTTTGTGTGTGCTTCAGTTATTTTTTAGGACGGTTGGTTGGGTCTGTGGATCTAGTTGTTTTTAGTACATGGTTGGTCGGTCTGTCGGTTGATTCTTTCGTTCGTTTGTTGGCTCGAACAGACTGACGAAACAACACTGGCCTGTATGCTCTTGTTTTTTTCCTACTATCAAAGCTAAAAACATGAAAAATACCATTTATAATGTATGTGTGGCAATTGGCGTGGTGACTACGAACCCAGTGTGGTTGGTTGTGTGTTACCTCCTCCTCTACCTTGACTACACACTACAAACAAACAATAAAATACACATACAGCCGGCATATTATACAAAGCAATCAACCGACCGACAGACTGGCAGCCAGGCAGGCAGACCTACCGACAAAAACACAACTATGGCAAACAAACCCAGCACAGCACATAAGAGCTCACTTTGCAGCAACCAACAAACGAATGTTCAAAAATTAAATGTATTTTGTGCTGTTCGTCGTTGTTGTCGTGGTCGTCGTCTCAAAAACATGGAAACAATTTAACGAATACAGCCAGAAAGTACATTATGTATCAAACATTTATTTTTGTATTGATGGAAGAAAAAACTCGGTAGAACACAAGCGATTGTGGTATTTTTGCTTGACTGGAAGATGATGTGTTTAAAAGTTGCAGCATTTAAACTTGTTTCGTTTCATAAAACTTCATTTCAAAGGCGATATTCATCAAAGTAATGAGGTTAACTAAATCGTTTTCAAGCCAAAGCGAAATAAACAAATAATAATAAACGAAAATGTTTTTGTTTACAATTAAAATCGAATTCTCACTCTCACACACTTCTTTCATACACTCTCTCTCTACTCTACTATGGCCATAGACAAATGAAAATATAGACAACGAAATGCTCTCACCGTTTATCTTCGAAAAAAATCGAATCAGCAGATGTCGTCTATATCGTTTCAGGGGTTTGAGTGGGAATATTGAAGTCACTCAATTCTAAAACGTTAAAAATAACAAAAATTGTAGGATATTTGTCAGTTGGAAATTGTTCCATAATAAAATAAATGTGAAAATTACGAGATGACATCAAAAAATTCCGGAATAATCAAGTGAAATTCTTGAAAAACGATGAAATGTGTTTTCGAAGTCGAGTGGCTTGAACGCGTAAATGAGCATGTTGACTATGCAAAACATGATGAGAGCCACCTGGAAAAAAAGACCAAACTAACTTTTCGTTGTCTATATCTTAATTTGTCTATGCTATGGCTCTCTCTTGCATTCTCTCAACACTTCTATACCGTTAGCAATTTTACAAAATTTAATATTATTTAATATGTTTTACCTTTTAGGAATTCTTTCAGTTGTTCTGCCGATATATTTCGGAAGCCCAATTCATTTAAATAATGCAAAATGGCGCGTGCATCCACTGGCAAATGTGACATTTTCTTGTGAAACTCACACTAGCGCTCTCCGCATACATTGATTTCGGTTCGTAGAGGGCACAGTGCGATGAGGAATAATGAGAAAAATAATATAAAACAACAACAAAAACTTAGTTCAAACAAAAAGAAAGTCCCCACATACAATGTTTCTGCTGTCTCTGTTTCGCGTTGTCTTCGTTGCCGTTGTTGTTATTATACTGTAGCCAGCAAGCTAGAGCTTGCTATGTTGTATAAATTTAACACTTTCAATAAAAACGATTCGCGTACACATACACACTCGATATATGAGAATTTCTTTGTAATTTTGCGTTATTTGCAATTCTTTTTTCTTATTTGATGCCGTATTTACACATACTTTCAAGTTTTTTCTTTTATTAAATTAAAAGTAATTTTATCTTCTCGCAATCGTTTAAATTTTTCCCCGTTGCTTGCTTGGTGCTGTTGTTGGGCTTTGTCAGAGCGTTGGCTTTCTGGGGGTTTTTCACAAGTTTTCTATATTTATTTGGCTGTTTTCATCTAAATTCCATGCAATATTTATAAAACAGTTTATGATGATGTTGTTTTTTGGTTATTTTTCTTTTAATCTACTATAGTTTTATTGAATTTGCTTTAACTTTACACAGAACGTATCAACTTTTTGTAATCGTCGTATCGTTTCGTTTGACGCTCGTTTTTTCTTTCATACTTTATCTTCTGCTTGCTTTTGAGGTACTAGGGATATATAGATCGACTGACGTGTAATCGATTTATTGCCTTCATCGATTAACTGACTTTGAACATTAGTTTATCGATTCCTTTAATTTTTAAAAATTTCATAGAGATAGTTCTTTTGCACGCCAAAACAATAATTAAACATTTTATAAAAATCTGCTATGTTTTAAAGCGCGAAATGATATAAAAATTTTAACTCAATAATCGATTATTCCTTTTTGATCAATTAGCTGGCCCGGTCCGCATTACCGGCCCGTACTTTTAGTCTTTAATGCATATGTTTTAAAGCATAATAAATTGCAAATCTCACTTATATAAGCGGCTTCATTTTTATTATAAGTAATGAATGACTCCATAGTAATTTGTAAATATAAATATATATTCATGACAAAAATTACCGACGGTGTTAAATATTTTGAATAGCCTGATCTTATTTTTCAGCCATAGGCTTAAATTTGAGTGTTAAAAACCTATATGATATAGAACATTTATAATAGCCCCATGTGAAAACTTAGCACAATTTTTGATATTGCAAAGAGCTTAGCTGTAATTTGGAATTTGAATTTCCAACGTTTAGAATACCGTGCTGCGTGGTATTTAGTTTTGTCCACAACATAATTGGGGTCAGAATTATTTCAGAATAGTCAAAGATAATAACCCCTTTAAAACCCATTACCGTAAGATGGGAATTAATTTTTTGCCATTTTAATTGTGCGTTGGGGACCCATTCATAAATCCATTGTATATACACAAAATCAGAAATGGGAACTGTTTTTTATGCATTAAAATTTGAAAAGGTAAATTACAGAAAATGCAGAGCTGGGAATGCGAATTTGAAATGAGGTTACCTTTATGTCAATGAACCATGGAGACCCCATAAAGTCCATATTTTTCATCATAGTATAATGACTAATATTCTAATATTCGTAATTTTTTGCATGTTTCTGCCACAATTTTTTATTTTATGTGGACGTAAATCCCAAATCTACGTTCCCAAAAATTTTTTCTTGGGGGTCATGGTAAAAGAATATAGTTAGTTGCATCAAACATTGGAACATGGTATGTCAAATGTTTTGAAATGTTTTTTTTTTTTCTAAAATAGGTATTTTTTTCTATGTTTTCTTATACGACGCCAATCGAAGATTGTTATGATATTCATTTTTCAACAATTTTTACGAATTTGAATAACTGTTCATGCAAAATTTTCAATTTCAAATTTAGTTTGACAGTTCATTGTCCAAGCAGCTGTGCCGATGCGACTACCTGTATTCTTCTACAATATTGGGAGTTATAAATTTAATAAAATATTTTTTTTTTCTAACCAAGCATTAGTAAAGGAATAAGTACAAAAGAAGGCTTGAAGTCATGGCTAGGCATATTTTGTGACATTTAATAAAGGGATTACAGAGCCGCACTAAAATCCTGCCGTCGTTTTCCATTATAATTTGACATTAATGTGACTACCCATGACTCCAAGCTTTTTAAGTACTTGTACCTTTAAGAAAGTGGACTTGGGGGTACAGATAATGTGGGGACTATACTTAAATAGATGCATATGTGGACAATTACCTGTACGATACTTCTCTACCCCAGGGTAGCCTAAATACAATTTTTTAGCCAAATCAATTGATGAAAATTTTATGTGAAGAAATTTTCTACCCTCTTAGAAACCAAGATGCCAAATAAAGACCAAAAAAATTAAAAAATGTCCAACACCACGAAAATAGCTTTATTCATATGATGGTTATACCAAAACGTAATCATTTTTTTCCAAGATAGGACCCATATCATGACGATTTAGGGTATGTTGAATGTTTGGGAACAATTTCTGGAAGGATAGAATTCCTTTTCTTACTAAATGTCCAATTCGCCCTACTATTTTGCGCCCTATATATTCGGTATTTCACTGAATGCATTTCCAATGAATTTTGCATTTTGATTTGTCATTGGATGGATTATTGTCATATGAAAGAGGTAGGTCCATTTTTGTTTAAATGCGTTCGCATCTTCCAGCTGAAGCACGATATGGCATTGCGCACTCATTTCATTTTTCATTTAATTATTTCAGAATTCAAAACAATAAAAAATGTACACTTCAATATAGTATGTCAAATTCATATTTTTATTAACACATTTCACGCGATTTTTTTATGTTCTCATTGCACTTTCAATCAAGTTTTTCGCTCTCAGAATTAGGTACACGAATTAACCCGTTCATATGGCACGATTCGTAATTCATAGTAAAATAATTCATTTTTTCAAAAATTTTATTCGTTGATTTTAATGGGAATTTATACAAAAATACATGAAATTCTCACTAATATGAATAGAAGAAATTATTGTTTTTCTCCCAGTGATTTATTATATCATTAACTTTACCATTTTCATTCATGTTTTCAACCTTTTGTGTAAATGTTGACATTTTGAAAGTATTTTTGTATTTTTCTATTTTTAAATTCTGCTGGAGAGAGTTGTCAAACATTTTTTCTGCCGATACAAAAATTTTGAAAATATTGCCTCTTTTGTTTCCAGCTTTCTGTGGAAATTTCAACTCGTGGGCAAAATGTCCACCTCGGATGACAGAGAAAACAAAATTTACTTTCGTTTGAATGTACATACGCCATTCAACATTGTAGTTTTCATTCATAATTTTAAGTCTTCCCAAAATTATGTAAAATTTCATTAAATTTGTCTATTTTGAATTTTTAATGTGGCGTTTCCACTGCACTTGATTCGCTCTCTATTCGTTGTTTGACCCTTAACTATGAAAAAACTACCTAATTCTTCACACAAAATTTCCTGAGCGAACACTCATATTTGTACGTTGTTCAAATCAAATCACTCTCAGAACAACGAAAAAATATGTCCCATCCCTAACAAATGAGAGCATTTATCGAAAAAATAAATTATGACATTTAAAAATTATAAATAGAAAAATTTAATGAAATTTTAAAAATTTTTGGGAAGACTGAAAATTATGAATGAAAACTACAATTTTGAATGGCGTATGTACATTCAAACGAAAGTAAATTTTGTTTTCTCTCTCATTCGAGGTACGCATTTGGTCCACGAGTTAAAATTTCTACAGAAAACTGAAAACAAAATAGTCAATATTTTCAAAATATTTCTATCGGCAGAAAAAATGCTTGACAAGTGTCTCTTCAGCAGAATTTAAAAATGGAAAAACACAAAAATATGTTCAAAATGTCAACATTTACACAAAAAGTTGAAAACGTGAATGAAAATTGTAAAATTAATGATATAATAAATCTGTAGGAGAAAAACAATAATTTCTTATAGTCATATTAGTGAGAATTTCATGTCTTTTCGTATACATTCCCTTTAAAATTAACAAACAATTTTTTTGAAAAAAGGAATTATTTTACTATGAATTACGAATCGTGCCGTATGAACGGGTTAATTCGTGTACCTAATTCTGAGAGCGAACAACGTTGTTCGGTTTCCAATGGAAACATGCTATAAATGTCATAATTTATTTTTTCGATAAATGCTCTCATTTGTTAGGGATGGTACACATTTCATCTTAGTTCTGAGAGTGATTTGAATGGAACAAAGAACAAAAATCTTTGTTCGCTCAGCAAATTTTGTGTGGTGAATTAAGTAGATATTTCTTAATTAATGGTCGAACAAGGAATAGAGAGCAAATCACGTGCAATGTGAACTTAGCATTACCTTGTCACATTTTACTACATAAAAACAGGTTCCCAGTTGTGTATGTACAATGGATTTATAAATACAAATTTTGACAATGAGATGTTGTCAAATGAATAATATTTGAAAAAAATTGTAAACATATCATTCCATGAGTTTACCTCCTTGATTCTACCATGGAGCGTAGTAACTAACATAACTTTCTTTTATATGGTAAAAATAATTCTTTATTTTGTTCGCAAAAACGATTGAATTTAATATGATAATGCCATGTTTACGTTAGAACTTTTTGTGGGGTTAACCTACTTTGAGAGGATTTATTTGAAGTATAAGTAATGGATATGACAATTTTAATCCAAATCCAGTCGGTTAACCCATTTATATATGAACGTACTGTAAGCCAAATTAAAAAAATCGTACATTATATAAAATTGACAAAAAAATATTCAACTTTTCGCTAACTTTTTACAGCAAACGTTTAAAGGTCCCTACGAAGTTTGTCAATAGAATGCACCATGCATGGTACCATGGTACAATGATGTCAAGGTAGGGCAATGATACCATATGATTTCAATTTTTTTATTTTCTTGGCTTAATATGTCATCTTTATTTGTTTATGTATGTGTTTTCTTTTCAATAACAAAAAAATTGTTCAGAAAATATTCAAATTCGGATGTTTTCAAAATGTTTATTTCATCGTATGCATCGACAAAATCTAGAGTTTTTGTAGCGAAATAATCCTTTAGAGATATATAGAACCATGGTACAATGAAGAGAAGGTAGGTCAACTTTGAAAAAATTGCAAATATAGAGGTCTACCTGTTTGGCTTGTAATGTCAGAATTAGTATCAAAGCAATAAAAAATTAAACAACTTGTTGCATTTATTTTGAATAAATAATTGAAAACCGCGAAAACTGAATGAAAGGTCAACACTTCTTTTCAAAACCAGTTTCTATATATCTTTAAAGGATTATTTCACTACAAAAACTCTAGATTTTGTCGATGCATACGATGAAATAAACATTTTGAAAACATCCGAATTTGAATGTTTTCTGAACAATTTTTTGTTATTGAAAAGAAAACACATACATAAACAAATAAAGATGACATATTAAGCCAAGAAAATAAAAAAAATTGAAAACATATGGTATCATAGCCCTACCTTGATATCATTGTACCATGTATAGAACCTGGTTTTGAAAAGAAGTGTTGACCTTTCATTCAGTTTTCGCGGTTTTCAATTATTTATTCAAAATAAATGCAACAAGTTGTTTGATTTTGTTATTGTTTTGATACTATTTCTGACATTACA